TGGGCCAGCTGCTAATTAGCAGCGTCGTCTGCCCCTGGCCGTGTGAGCCGCGCAGGCGGATGCGGACACGGGCGGGCGTCCCGGGGCGGGGAGCAGGCCCTGGCTGCTGGGCGAGGGGGCGGCTTATCCTGGGCCTTCCCAGGGAGGATGTTGGGGGGCCAAGACCCCCAGCTGGAGGGGGGCAGGTAACACCCCCGCTGCTCTGTGCATCTCTGGCCGTGGGGCAGAAGGTGACAACGGGGAGCCCCTGGGAGAGGAGCTGCCCAAGATCTCTCCCCCGCATGCACACATGCACACACACACACACACGTACGTGTGTATATGCACCCCCCTGCCAGGCATGTTACCGGCCACCCCCCCGGGGACACCTATGTGAAGCCCCCTCCTCGGCAGGGGGGAAAGGGAGGATGGCGGCCATGCGGCTGTGCCAGGGAGAGCCCACGGGCCGCGTGCCCTATTTTCCCGTGACACACTGACACACCTAGACGGCAGCAGACGCACGCTCCGTCACGGAGGCGCCAAGGGAGAAGGGGATGTGGGGCGAGATGGTGCTCGCTGAGCCACGGCGATGCACAGCATGCAGGCAGGGCTCCTGCAGAGCCACATGCACACGCACACACACACACACGCATGCATGCATGCACACACAAATTGTGCTTACACGCACACACAGATGATGCTTACACTCACACACACAGGGCTCCTACAGAGGTGCATTCACATACACACACCCATGCACATGTATAGTGCTTACATGGTGCCACACTGACGCACATAAAGCACTCTCATTACTAGTGACACACACATGCAGCACTCAGGCAGAACCACACTGATGCACTTGCACATAGGTCAGGTTCACACTGATACATGTGCACAGAAAATGCTTGCACAGAGCTACGTGAATACCCACACAGACGATGCTCACATATGGACATACGCACACATGCACACACAAATAATGCTTACACTCACACAGACACACATTGCTCACATAGTCATACTCTCATGTACACACACCTATGCACACATGCACACACACATTGCTCACACAGAGCCACACTCTCACATACACACACCCATGCACACACAGTGTCTCCTTCCTGCTCCCCAGGGCTCAGGGCAGAGGACCTCGCTCAGAGAGGGGCCTTTCCTCGCCCAGCGGCAGAGTGCCGCCGGCATGCAGAGGTCCCTGGTCTGGCCCACGCCCTGCAGGTATAACGAATCCTGCTAATTGCACTCGCTTTGGCTCCGGGGTGAGCGGGGGAGAGGTGCCAGCGGGCGGCTGCAGTCAGGCCATGGGGAGGGAAGTGGGCAGGCGTCTCCGGGGAGCAGGCGTGGGCAAGGTGATGCCCCCTAGGAGACACAGCAAGGGGCCGGCTGGTCTGGCCCCAGTGCCCCCCCCAGGTGCAGGGGCTGCGGAGGGGGCAGGGGCAGGAGGAACCTCCCCCTCAGACCCCCATGCCTCCCAGCCTATGCAAGGTGCCCTGGCCAGCGGTACTGCACAGGGGTACAGCAGCACGGGTGGGGGGTGAAAAGGGGGCAGAGTGCATGGGGGAGGGCCGTACGGGGGGGCACAGGGGTGTCATTTGTGTGGCGGGGCTCGTCTGGTGCAGGGCGTTTCTGTGGACGCAGTGAGTCACTTCCCGTTCGTCCCCTGCTCCCGGGCTGCTCCGGTGCCGTCCTTCCCACCAGCCCCCCAGGAAAGCCCCCTCCCCAGACCATTCGGGGCCTGCGGAAGGAAGGAGATGGAGGGAAGCTGAGACCACAGCACGAGCTTGGCCCTAGCGAGGTCTGCGTGCATCTTGCCTGTCCCTGCGACTCAGTTTCCCCACCCACAAAGCAACCCCCGGCATCAGGCCTGGCCGCCTGCAGGGTGCTCGCTCAGCATGGAGAGCGTGCCCCCCCCCGGCCCCGTGGGACAGACAGGCCACGCGCCCCATGCCCCCCTGTCCGGCAGCTGCCCGGCATCCGGCTGTGCCCCCCGAGCTCAGCAGCTGCGCGGAAGGAAGAAGGAGGAGAAGGCGCCTGGCCCCGCGCCAGCGCCTCCGGGCCGTGTCCCCAGCGGGCCTGAGGCTGACGCAGACGCACAACGGGACATTGTTCCCCAGCCCCCCCGCGTCTGCTTCTGCATCCCAGCCCCGTGGGCCCTGACGGCCCTCGCTGCTACCAGCTGCCTCCCCCTGCACCAAGGGTCCCGCCGTGCTCTGCTGCCAGGGCACTGCCCCCGCTGCCCCGTGCTGGCCTCGGCCAGCAAGGCCGGCGAGCCCCCGCAAGCTCACTGCAGCGTCGTGCATGCACCCAGCTAAGCAACGCAGTCGCAACGAACTGGGTCCGGTCATCGCCCCGCGCGGGCTTTGCACGGGGTCTTAGCCCCACGGCCTGGCCCGTATGCCACTGAGCCGATCCCATCGCTGCCTCTCTGCCCTTCCCCATGTGGGAGCTCGTCTCCCCTCCCTACGGCTGCTTGTATGTGGCGCCTACGTTCCACCTCAGAGGTGGCCGCATTTTGCAGATGTGCCGCACAATGCTGGGCCTCTTTGCTGCACCACGGGGCCCTCCCATGACCCTTCTCCCCCGCGGGGCAGCGAGAGGTGGACTCGAGGGGGCAAGGCGACGGATCCTCTCGTAATGGGCTCTTGGGGCCCCGTTCCCTGCCCCGGCCCCTCCGTTTCTCGCTGGCTTTGCCCTCAGGCAGCTGTGCTGCGAGGCTGCTAAGGACAGTGCACGGGTGCCCCTGGGCTACGGCCCTGGTGCCATTCAGGGGCTCTGCGTCTCAGGTGGGCTGCCGGTTCATTACTGGGGAGTCTCTCGTTCGTTCCCCGTGCTTTTAAGACTCCCTCCCGGGGCTGGTCATGCCAAGCCATCACGTCAGCAGAGAAGGGTCCGTCCCAAGTTATCCGTGGCCCTCGGGGTGGCAGGCAGCGTGCTTAGTGTCCTGGTTTGCAGGTCTGGGGCCGCTCCTCGGGGACAGACCTAAGGCAGGAGGTGATTAGCAAGCCAGGCTGGAGCAGGACCCCGGGGAAAACACCCCAGCCTGGCCCACGGCCAGAACCAGTGACAGACGTGTCAGGCCTCGTTAGCCCTGGAGCAGCGGTCTTCAACCTTCTCATACTCAAGGTCCTGCTCGTTAGCCTCCAGCCCCTTCGGCAAACGCCAGCTCTTCGTCGTCCCTTGTTTTTTGACCGTGGGCAAATCTCAGAGCGATTCTTCTGTTGCAAAGAAAGGAGAAAGCCCCGGTAGCGCCACCCGTGACCTGCTGTGGCTGTGCCGTAACGCACCTAATTACCCTTTCCCACTGGGCCCCTTTGTCACGGTGGTGTCCACGGGTCCCAGACCCCGTGGCCCTGGGCCACATCCAGCCCTGGACAGATGTAGTGGAAATGATTTCTGTGAGGCCCAGAGAGTCCCGGGCTCTGGTCACAGGATCCCAGGGCAGGAAGGGACCGCAAGGGGCATCGGGTCCAGCCCCTGCACCAAGGCTGGCGGCTGCAACTATCCCAGCCCCGTGTAGTGCTTCTCCAGGCTCCGTTTGGGACCCGCCGGGAAGGAGACGCCAGCCCTGCGTGGGGCAAGCTCTCGCTGCCTCGCTGCCCGCACACCTGGGGCCTTTCCCCCCAGATCTCGTCTACATCTCTTTTGCCCCCGTTTGAACCCGTTGCTCCACGTCCTTTAGATTCATAGATTTCCTCTGCCTCAGCCCAGCACCGACTGGCTTGCTTCGGCTGCGGTCCTCAAAGCCAGCGGCTGGTTTCGAAGCCCTCTCGGGACCGCGCTGCACACTGGGCCCAGCACCCAGGACTGCAGCGGACCTCAGTGGGGCCGGAGGATGGTGATGAGGCCCAAACGCTCCGAGGCATTGAGGGTCTCGGTTCCCACAGGCATCCCAAATCCAAGGCCACTTCTGAGCGCTTTGGGAGGGGCTTTCGACTGCATCCACGGGACTGTCCTGCCCTGTAGCCTGGCAGAAGGACATGAACTTGTTGTCACTTAGGCACTTTTAAAACCACCCCAGGCCTTTACCCCTCCGTGCCTCAGTTTCCCCTATGTGGACATTTGTGTGACAGAGACAGGGAGTGGGGCAGTGCTGGGAGGGTTCCTGGGGAGAGGTTGGTAGAGCACTTTGCAGCTGGAAAGAGCTGGAGGATGGTGACACCTCATTCCAGGTCCCAGCCGACCGGTCTGTGCCGGCGAGCTGGTGCTGGGGACCACCACTGCCCCTTCAGACAGTTGGCGTTGTGCAAGCCGTGGATCCGGTCAGTGCCTGCGCACCGTGCCCATCGCAGTCACAGCAGTGACTCCAGCGAACATCAGCACGCCCCAGCTGGCATTCGGCTGCCCTGGGTGCTGCTTGTCGTGGTGCCGTGATAGCAATACGGCTCAGTGTGGGCTGCTCGGGGCATGGCGGAAATACCTGGGGCTTGGCCCTTGCTGTCGTGCCCAAGCCAGCTGGCCTAGTCTGGGGATGTCTGCAGGAGCTGCAATGGCTGCAAGCAGACAGGCCCAGACCGTGATTGCTCCCTTGCAGCTGGGCAGCGGGGCAGGTCAGGCTGGCGCACCTGCTGAGGTCTTCCCCGCTGCTTGCTCTGAGAGCCGGCCTGGCTCCTGGCCCTCTGCTCCTTCCCCACGCGCACGTGTCTGGGAGGCGGTCTGACTCCCCCAGCACCTTTCTTCCCCAGGCGATGGAGAGCAAGCTGCTCATCGGAGGGAGGAACATCATGGACCACACCAACGAGCAGCAGAAGATGCTGGAGCTGAAGAGGCAGGAGATAGCAGAGCAGGTAAAGGCTCAACTTCATGGGTGGCTTGAGTGGACTGGCACCAGGTCAGGGTCCCCAAAGACTGATGCCGACCTTGTCCTGGGTGTCAGCAACTGTCTGTCCAGTAGGCCGGAGCCAGCTCTGGATGGACAGACAGACAGACATCGCATGTTTATATCATGTTTCGCAGACAGACCAGACAAATACCGTATGTTTATATGATGTTTCACAGAGAGACGTCGCGTGTTTATCTGATGTACCAGACAGACCAGACAGACATTGCGTGTTTATAGGATGTGTCGCAGACAGACCAGACAAATACCGTATGTTTATATGATGTTTCACAGAGAGACGTCGCGTGTTTATCTGATGTACCAGACAGACCAGACAGACATTGCGTGTTTATAGCATGTGTCGCAGACAGACCAGACAGACAGTGCATGTTTATAGGATGTGTCACAGACAGACCAGACAGACATTGCATGTTTATAGGATGTTTTGCAGACAGACCAGACAGACAGCGCATGTTTATAGGATGTGTCGCAGACAGACCAGACAGACATCGCATGTTTATAGGATGTGTTGCAGACAGACCAGACAGACAGAGCATGTTTATAGGATGTGGCGCAGACAGACCAGACAGACAGGGCATGTTTATAGGATGTGTCGCAGCCAGACCAGACAGACAGAGCATGTATATAGGATGTGTCGCAGACAGACCCGACAGACAGGGCATGTTTATAGGATGTGTCGCAGCCAGACCAGACAGACAGAGCATGTATATAGGATGTGTCGCAGACAGACCCGACAGACAGGGCATGTTTATAGGATGTGTCGCAGCCAGACCAGACAGACAGAGCATGTATATAGGATGTGTCGCAGACAGACCCGACAGACAGGGCATGTTTATAGGATGTGTCGCAGCCAGACCAGACAGACAGAGCATGTATATAGGATGTGTCGCAGACAGACCCGACAGACAGGGCATGTTTATAGGATGTGTCGCAGCCAGACCAGACAGACAGAGCATGTATATAGGATGTGTCGCAGACAGACCCGACAGACAGGGCATGTTTATAGGATGTGTCGCAGCCAGACCAGACAGACAGAGCATGTATATAGGATGTGTCGCAGACAGACCCGACAGACAGGGCATGTTTATAGGATGTGTCGCAGCCAGACCAGACAGACAGAGCATGTATATAGGATGTGTCGCAGACAGACCCGACAGACAGGGCATGTTTATAGGATGTGTCGCAGCCAGACCAGACAGACAGAGCATGTATATAGGATGTGTCGCAGACAGACCCGACAGACAGGGCATGTTTATAGGATGTGTCGCAGCCAGACCAGACAGACAGAGCATGTATATAGGATGTGTCGCAGACAGACCCGACAGACAGGGCATGTTTATAGGATGTGTCGCAGCCAGACCAGACAGACAGAGCATGTATATAGGATGTGTCGCAGACAGACCCGACAGACAGGGCATGTTTATAGGATGTGTCGCAGCCAGACCAGACAGACAGAGCATGTATATAGGATGTGTCGCAGACAGACCCGACAGACAGGGCATGTTTATAGGATGTGTCGCAGCCAGACCAGACAGACAGAGCATGTATATAGGATGTGTCGCAGACAGACCCGACAGACAGGGCATGTTTATAGGATGTGTCGCAGCCAGACCAGACAGACAGAGCATGTATATAGGATGTGTCGCAGACAGACCCGACAGACAGGGCATGTTTATAGGATGTGTCGCAGCCAGACCAGACAGACAGAGCATGTATATAGGATGTGTCGCAGACAGACCCGACAGACAGGGCATGTTTATAGGATGTGTCGCAGCCAGACCAGACAGACAGAGCATGTATATAGGATGTGTCGCAGACAGACCCGACAGACAGGGCATGTTTATAGGATGTGTCGCAGCCAGACCAGACAGACAGAGCATGTATATAGGATGTGTCGCAGACAGACCCGACAGACAGGGCATGTTTATAGGATGTGTCGCAGCCAGACCAGACAGACAGAGCATGTATATAGGATGTGTCGCAGACAGACCCGACAGACAGGGCATGTTTATAGGATGTGTCGCAGCCAGACCAGACAGACAGAGCATGTATATAGGATGTGTCGCAGACAGACCCGACAGACAGGGCATGTTTATAGGATGTGTCGCAGCCAGACCAGACAGACAGAGCATGTATATAGGATGTGTCGCAGACAGACCCGACAGACAGGGCATGTTTATAGGATGTGTCGCAGCCAGACCAGACAGACAGAGCATGTATATAGGATGTGTCGCAGACAGACCCGACAGACAGGGCATGTTTATAGGATGTGTCGCAGACAGACCAGACAGACAGTGCATGTTTATAGGATGTGTCGCAGATTCTCGGTGCCTTTGACAACAGAAGCAGCTCTGAATCCCGGAGTGATGTATTTAGGTAGCCCATTAGAAAAGGAGTTGCCAAACTCAGTCCAACTCCCCTTGGAATTTGCCCCAATCCTGCAGTGACAGGCCCGCTGCAAAGCCCCTGTGACAAACAGGGTGGACTTCAGCCCAGAGGAGAGAGCCGTGTCCTGCTGGAGCGCAGCCCCGTCCATGGTGCCCTGGGACATGCTTGCAGGGATGGGCAGACTGGACACCCCTATAGGGATGGCGTCTCCATACGAGGGATGTGAGTCTAGTTAATCCCAGCGTAGCAAGGATGCTGGGGGTTCCCTGGGCTGCAGAGACCACATCCAGATAAACCAAGTCTCTGACACTAAGGAGCTGCCGGTTGTGGCAGCGGTTGCTACATTTGGGACGTTTCCCCCCAAAAGAAGGCCAGCAGTGCACATCAGATGACAGCTTTCATTCACTGCAGACCTGGGCACAAGTCAAACCAGCCATGGAGAAACACGGGCTCCACATCCGATTTCCCCAGGGGTGAGAGAGACAACCCCATGGCTGTTTAGTCCTCCATGCTTTGCCAGCTGGGTTCCTCAGCCGGGCTGCCTTGCTCCGGTCCCTCCTGGCTTAGCTGCGCTTTGGGTTTTTCCTGCTGCAGAAGCGTCGGGAGCGGGAGATGCAGCAGGAGATGCTGCTGCGGGACGAGGAGACCATGGAGCTGCGGGAGACCTACACGTCCCTGCAGCAGGAAGTGGAGATCAAAACCAAAAAGCTGAAGAAGGTGAGGGGCGTGTGGGGGGGTGTCAATGGCATTTCCAGGTGCGTCTGCAGCTGGCCTTTGCCAAAGTGGGTGGGAAGGCTGCATGGGCGTGGGGTCATTGTGCTTCCTGCCGGCTAAGCATTTGCAGGATGTGTAGCAGCTCTTACTGTATCCTGGCTGCCACAGAGCCAGGACGTCACGTTGTGGCACGATGCCACCGGAGTGCACGGTGCTGGGCTTGAACCGTTGTGTCCAGGGTCACCTCCGCGGCTCGTTCAGGTCCCTCAGTGCAGGAGCTGACTGTGCTCGCGCTGCGGCTGGTCTGGATCCACACGATGCCGGCTGAGGCTCTCCCCGTTTCGGCAGAGGTGCGGCTCCTGGAAAGGGAGGCTGGGAAAGCTTGCCCTCGCTGCCTGGAAGACCCACTGAGGCACAGCAGGCTCCAGTGTGGCAGGGAGGGGACCCCGGGCCACATCCCCGCATCAGCCTTCATGGCCAGACATTAACAGAGTGTCTTGTTCTCGGTGTCCCAGCTGTACGCCAAGCTGCAGGCCGTGAAGGCGGAGATCCAGGACCAGCACGATGAGTACATCCGAGTGCGGCAGGACCTGGAGGAGGCCCAAAACGAGCAGACCCGGGAACTGAAGCTCAAGTAGGTGCCTCTTCCCCCTCCTGGGAGACACAACTCAACAAAGCAGCTCCATCCTTTAGCCCAGCGGCACTCAGCCTCTTGGTCCCGTGGGCCACAGGAGTGGCACAGGGCTGGTCTGGAGGCTGGATGGGATTGCCCCTGAGTGCTGGGATCAGGCCCAGGGCCCTGTGCCACCTCCATCCAGTCCCACATGCCAGGATCAGGTTCTCAGGCCTCGTGTCACCTCTGCCTGGCTCCATACATCAGGGCCGAGTCCCAAGCTAGCACGCAGGACTATGGGCTGTGGCCCTCCCTGCAGTTTGGTGGGACGCCCATGGACTGGATTACATGACGTGGAGACTGAATCTGGCCCATGGGCGAGGGGTTGGACACCCCTGCTCTAGTCTGCGAGTTTTCAACCTTTTCTAGATTCAAGGTCCCCCTCGTTAGTCTTCAGGCCCTCTCTCAGGTTTCACTTGTTTCTTGAGCAATTACACTAGAGCAATTCTTCTGTTGCAGAGAACTCAGAAAGATGCACTTGGGCGAAATAGCCGTAATGCTACAGATCCCTGTTTGAAATCTCTGGGTTGACCTTGTGAATGGTGTAGGTGTTTCTGTGTCTAACAGTGCTGCTAGTGCACAGCACCCTGTGCCACCCTTTGAAGGGTCTCACAGCACCCCAGGGTGTCGTGGCATCCTGGCTGAGGAGCCCTGCTCCAGTCAGTAGGAAGCTGGGTTTTGTGGTCACGTCCTGCCGGGATAATGAAACACTTCCTCTTCCATTGTAGGTAGGAGGGATGTTTAACCATCATTGTTAAATGCTTTAAAAGTGGCAGCAACAGGTCATTTGCATGTAGGAGTATTAAAAGAATTAGCCAAGGAACTCTCTGGACCATAAATGTTCATTTTTACCCATGCTGCCATTCGCAGGAGCCTGGCAGGAAGCTAATGTTTTTTCACATTCAAAAAGAGCAAATGCCATACTTTTTTTTGCATACAACATGCACCTTTTCCCCCCAAAACAGCTGCTGGAAATTGGATTCTGTGCACGGTAAAGCATTTTGGATTCTGTGAAAGACGGTAAGAGCAATTTCTGCTGCTTACCAGGCAAAAGCAAACATAAGATCTGCACATGGTTCACAGGAAGCAGAGCAATAAGCAGCTCAACTCCCTGCTTCTGCTACGCAGTTACTTACTACAGGGAAAGTTGTTTTTGTCCTTTCAACAGCAAGATGCAGGTCTTATTCCAGGGTGTGTTGTATGCAAGGAAACACAGTAATATGGTTTTATTGAATAACCACGCTTGCTGAGATCACAAGTTTGGCTGATGAAGGTAATCGTGTTACTGTAACAGACTTAGGTTTCTGTAAGGCATCAGATACAGACCTACATGATAGTCTGAGAAATAAAGTTAGCACCCTAAAAAAGCAGCATAGCTCATCTTAAACGGACTAAACATTGGATTGGAAGCAATGGGAAATGGGGATTTATCTCCAAAGGGGTGTTTTTGACCAGGGTTTTAGTGCAGTCTCACCAGGAAT